TCCCGTGGGAGGGTTAGCAACCAGCTGCTCGACCCAAACAAACACTAACAAGCTGAACAAAAGGCTGCTGCCCGATTTTACCCCCCCCCCATTCCAGTGAGGAATATGGGGGGAATTTAAGTTTTTCTGTCAGTGTTGGCTCCAAATCAAGTTCGGATCAAGTGTGATGGCTGTGTCTCGTGGGTGCTTCTCACCTGTGGGTGTGGCATATGAGGCCGGTAGGGCTTCTCTTTGCGGCACTGCTGCTGGATGAGTGAAAGCAGGCCCACCTTCTGGTTCTGGTTAGTGGGTCGCGGTGGTCCGGGCCCCGCCTCATAGTGCGACAGAGGTTTGGTGTTGTTGTAGTTCAGCATGACGGCCGGGGCCTGAGCACCTGCTGCCGGCGCATGGCTGAGAGGCGGCCCTGAAGTCGGGTGACCCAGCATGTTGGGGTGTCCGGCGGAGCCTGGCATGAAGCTGCTGGCACCCGCCTTTGGAGAGGCCTTGTTGGGCTGACTGGATATCACCAGCTGCTTCTGGGCATTGGGATTGAAATCCTGTGAGTAAAGGGAGTTACTTGTGGATTTGTCCATACCAAATGCACTCGCTTGTGAGCTTTGAGAGGTATTGGGCATCTGGGACCATGGAGACGGGTGGTTGGGGTGGTTGGGGAACTTGGCTCCTGGCTGCTGCTGCTGCATATGTCTGTGGAGGTGCTGGACTCTCTGCTGCCGGACAGCCAGTTCCTGGAGCTGCTGGGCAGGGGACAAGTCTTTGGGCCCCTGAGGGAGGAGGTGGTTGGGTGGAGGCTGGATTTGCCTGGGAGGAGCAGGCTGGGAGGTGGAAAGAGCTGGGGAAGAGGCAGAGGAGGAGGCAACAGGGGAGCTAGTGGGATGAGGAGGAGCAGTCCCGGAAGGCGTGGATCTGACTTGGGGGGAGCCGGTGCGAGAATCCTGCTCGAAGACGGCAGAGGGTGGGGAAAACTCCGCCTTCACGCTCACCAAATCTGGAGGAAGTAAACCCTGGGAAGACTGTCCCCCCCCTCCTGCCCCTCCCCCGACAGCACCACCACCAACCTGAGTGGCTGCCAGTTCCAGAGGGTCTTTGCGGTCCTCAAAGCCATCGTTGAGGATCTCCTGGATGTCTTCGTAGTCCACAGGGAAGTTCAGCTCCTCCATCAGCTCTGTCCACTCCTGTTCGTTCAGTTCAGGGAACAGGCTGTTGTTGCCAACCGGGGGTGGCATGATGGGGAGGATGTCGTCTGGCTCCTGCTTCATCTCTTTCGGATGGAAGTCTGGACCCGGCTCTCTGCCACCGTCTCCCGACTCGCACATGGGCCCGTTAGAGTTGCTGATATCTGGCTTGGAGTCAAGCGGGGAACCGGCGGTAGCGCTGTTGTCCTGGCAGCCTTTCTGGCTCGATGGGAAGCTTTCATAACTGTTGACTTGTCCTCGCAGGTCAGGGGGACTGAGGCTCTCCAGCTTCCTCTTTAGAGTCTCCTGCAGTTGGAACGACAAAAAGAAGCATCAAGAGTTACTCAAAGCAAAACCCCAGACAGTTCAAACCTGAAAGTGAACCTCTGAGTTTAAAAAACAAACAAACACATAATTTACAAAACAAGGATTATTTATATCTGTAAAAAATACATTACTACATTTTATCTGACCCAGACCCAGCATGTTACACAGGGTCTGAATTCTGACTGGCTGACAAATAAAGTAAAAAAAAAAAAGAAAAAAAAAAAAAGTGCCACTTTGTTTGGGAAAATAAAACCTAAATCAACGAAAGGCTTTAAATAAAATATTCCAACACAAGGCTGAAAGAGGAGTGCAGGGGTGATTTGGGAATGACCAAGTTACCAAAACCTTTGTTGCACAAAAACAGGATATAACATAAATAATTGTCAATTGTCAAATTGATACTTTGTGGTGCATTAGAAACTGGTACCCTGTTCAACTGCTTCTGTTTTTTGTGTAATTTGAATTCTTTCTCACTTTGGTATCATCACCATCAGTAGGCACACGCACAGCTGAGCTGCAGGGGATGTGCAGCAGAGAGACGGGTGCTGCTAAAATCACCGGCAGGCCGGCTTACATAAGGATATAAAGGGCAGTCGGCAGGTCTGACGGCTGCGTTCTGTCAGCAGCTCGACTCGCCCGATCGCAGCACGTCAGCTGATCCTCACACTACGTGATTGCCAAACACTCTGAACACCTGAGGTACCCGTGATGACAAGCAGGCAGGTGGACACAAGCTCCAAAGCGCCTCCTGCTCTGGAAAGTCAAACAACAGTAGCGTCCCTAACAGCTTGCAGGTTGTGCATGATAACATGAACTTTTCCTTTAAACCTTTTTTGTTGCATATGTGACATTCCAGAACATTAACAAATAAAACTTTTACTACCAAAAGCAGGAAAAAACATCTATTAGGATATTTGGGCCGACTTTAAAAGCAAAAGTGGCCCCTGTGTGTGAGCTGACTTATTAAACCAAAATTACTCTGATAAAAGAAAAAGCACCCTCTGAAGTCTGTCGTCATTACTAATTTCCAGGTTTAAACTCTTCTTCAGTTTCCAAAGATCATCCAGAGCATCCATGAAAACGAGGATTTCCAAAGTTTAACCATTTTCAAGTCTGCAGGAAGTTAGCTCACTTGTTTCCATCTAAAGATGAGACATTAACCCTCTCCATGATAAGAAAGAATACTAAACAGCAGCCATGTTTGTAGGGTTACTGAAGGTGGGCTAATGCAAAAGACGCTGAAATCAAACCAAACTTCAGTGAGAAGAATAGCACAGATGATCTATCCACAGCACAAGTTTAGTCATTAATGTGCTGCTGTGTGATTACTCGCAGTGAAAAATACCTGACCCTCAGCTTCATGTCCACATTGAAACCTCGCCTCAGAGTCACTCTGATGTTTGGCATCAGGGAAACTAGGGGCTGAAGATACATCTCAAGGTTTTAAAAACGGAGCTTAAAGACGCGGTGCACATGAATCGTGCTGATAAAAACCCGAAGAGGTCAATGATGACCGCTGATTATTATTAAGGGCTTATTTATATTAAATAAAATAAGATACAAAACATTACAACACCTTAAAAAGAAAACAGCAGTCAAACATCCTACATCACCCGTTCTTTCCTTAACGTGTTCACAAAGTTCAGTGTCCACGCCGTCCGCCCAACGAGGTGACCGCCATTAACTGTCAGCTGTTATCCTGTTTGTGGTCGCCTTATGGATATGACACCTAATTTCTCTGGGTTTTTAAATCAGAATGAGTTCCAACTACTTTTGTGTTTTTTGTTACTCAGGTTTTCTCATTTCCTTTCTTACATTCTGTCATCTTGTCCTAAATTTTAAGTAATTTGATTATTTTAGATGTACAGCTACTTTTTTTCAAATGCGTTATATAAACAAACTTGACTTTTACAGTCAAAGGGTTAAAAAAATTGTTTTAAAAACATCAAATAATCCACCTACTTCTCCATCAACAAGTCCTCCGATTTCGGAGTCAGTTTGTGCTATTGCGTCCATGCTAAGCATCTCGGCAGAGCTTCACCTAAGCGACGAGAACAAGGTGACAGAGGGAGGCTGTGACTCACATCGTAAATCACTTTAAAAGTCAGTAAAGGCTTCTCAGTTTTATACATGGAGAAAGCAAAGAGTTCATTGTTGTTTTCCAACCGTTTCTTGCCAAATGCTCTGGGAGTCGCTGAGTGTGGGGACTTTCCATCAGTAAATTGACTACATGTCGTCTCAGATGGATGAAAAAAATACACCTGGAGCATACACTGCACACATTAACCGTGTTCATAAACATTAAATACTGGTCATGATTCAGTGATGCGGGTCAGAACAGGAAGTTATGTCTGTGTTTTTGTGCATCTCTGCCTGTGAATATTAGCACTTTGTTCACTGATGCAGGCGCGTGCTTTAAAACTTTTTTTAAAATAGATTTATTTAAAAAAAAAAAAAAGATCACACTGCTTTTAAAGGGGATTTTCTTCCTACAACAAGTCCTGGATCAAAACTTCACAGATGTAAAAGAGGCAGGGTTTAGCCTGCTCTGCACCCACTGGTCCAGCCTTTGCTTTCAGATGAGCAGCTTTGGCCTTCCTTTTCAAAAAAAACCCCAAAAACACATCCTCGCCAAAAAATGCTGAGAATTTCCTGATTAGCCAGAGTGAAGCCAAAGTGGCAGCATCCAAACATTCAGAGCAGCTTATCTCTGACTCCTCAGCTCCTCCCGTGACCCTGATGCTTCTCCCGGAAGCTCTGAAAACAGTCTGAAGGCCTCACGTTCACCTGTGTGGGCATTAGGGCTGCCACGATTAGTCGACTAGTCACGATTACGTCGACTATCAAAATCGTCGACGACTGATTTAATAGTCGAGGCGTCGTTTGAAGCTTTGTAAGATCACAAAAGCCGCAGGAATAAGTAGTAGGATTTATGAGTGTAATAACGGATTGAAACAGAAGATGGCAGCACTGCATGTACAAGGATGCCAGCTGCCGTTAAACCCCGAAGAAAAAGAAGCAGCTCTGTCCCAGAATTCATAGCGCGGCCCAGCTCAGTTTCCAACAATGGCGGCAGCTAGTTAGTTTTAATATTACTCTTTTTATTCTTTCTGGGTCACAAAATAAACGTTTAACATATTTTCAGGCGAGAATGTAACTGTGTAAACTTCAAACATCTGTTCAGTTTATCAAGACACCGCATATATTCAAAAGCGCTCCAACGTTTACCCACCAGCTCGATAGCTAGCCGGGGGCAAGGCTCACTAGAGCCGGTGGGAACACCGGACTCCTGGCAAATCGTTTTCAAACCCACCGCCGTCTTTCGCTACTCAGGTTAAACATATACAAATCACTTAGATAACTTACAAATGTTATTTTTTGGATTTTTTCAGTGTTTTATTTGTTCCTGAGTAAATCGGTTTGGCTGAGATTAAAGTTATAGTTTTTACACAGCTGAATAAACGTCAAGCAGACAACTGATTATCAGAAGTGTGAGATGCTCCAGAATATACTCCGTTGTCCTGTTATATTTTAGATAGCAACGAGTTTATTAAACTTCACCGAAACAATCTGCAAATTTCATTAAAATTTAAGAAACTATCATCTCGTCTTTATTTTTAGTTAGCACATACCTTAAACACTTAAAGCTGTAAGCTAATAATAGTTATATAAGAGCAGATGCATGCTGGTGCAATAAGCTGTACGTTTTATGTCCAATGAATGCATGATCTGATTAGTCAACTAATCGCAAAAATAATCGGTGACTAGTCGACTATCAAAACAATCGTTTGTGGCAGCCCTAGTGGGCATGCCAACACTCTCGGTTGGTCATGGCATTTGAGGTGTGTGGCGGCATGTGTGTGCATCAGAATCTGAACACATAAGTTTCAGTTTTCAGACCAATATGGCAAGGCCATGATGATCCACTTGGTAAAATAAATCCGCTTGGCATCTTTCTTGGCCTTAAGACAACAATTCTGATGGCTAAAGATCCAAACGGGACACAAAAAAAGAAAGATAAGTTTCAGTTTCCTTTAGTCACGTTCGCCCACACACTCCCTCTGTTTATAAAACTCATGATGCCTTCACTGGTGTCCGAGTCAGACAGGCTTAATATTTTTTTTTTTTTTTAAAGGCAACCATTTTCAGTTAATGGTTTTTATTCTTAGATTCTTCTGAGTAACTCTGCATGACCCTCAGTTCATAATAATCCTTCTTTGTCTAACACGAGCCTCTGTGAAGCTCATTAGTCCGAAATAAGATGCTTTAGCCCCTCCCCCTTTGGGAAAACTTCTTCCGTTTGGCAGGTGGCTGAGAGCGTATGCCCTCTCTGACATCATACCAATCAAAGTGTAAAACAAAACAAAACTGAAATCTACTAAACTGATACCTGAACTTCTGAATGACACATTTTGCCTCATTTACAGTTACTCTGCTCTGATCAGCTGACCAAACAAAGCACCTGTCGTACCGCAGGTGTACAAGTTTTTATGTTTCTGATGCTAATAAGATGACCACGTGAATGCCTTTAAAACCTGAAATACAGGTCCCACTCCACCCATGTTGCTATGGTTACAGACCTGGAGTGAGACTAACGAGAGTCCTTTCAATGAGACAGCCTCAACTGTCAGGTAACGGAGTGATATAACAACACATGCTGACATTACAAATAACAGAAAGTCATCATTGTGCTCCTGGGCACAGACTCAAACTGCTTCTTTTAAACACAAATCTACGTCCCACCCTCTGACCTTCGTAACTAACAGTGACACTGCTGAAACTCTTGGGACGGTCATGGCCACTCGGTGCATTTTTTCTGAGAGAAAAGGACTGTTTCCAAATATTTACGGGGTGATTCATCCTGGAATTTTTTGACTCAGCCTTTGCCACAAAATTCCGGACTATGGGCCCCATTTCTGTCGGCCTGCAAGTGTTTTAAGGGGAGAAATCCTGACTTCACAGAGTAACCACTTTAAACAGGTTCACTGGAGTTTGGTTTGTCCACAGTCAGCTGTTCAGGAACCAGCCCGACGTCTGATATCAGGCTGGCCAACATACTCTAGGTGAAACCATCCACAGCTCGCTTTCTACTTTTAGATCACTGACGGTGTGACAGCCCTACAGCTTCTGCTCCATCATCATCATTATTACCATTATTGTTATTATTATTATTGCAGATGAATTGCTTTTTTGGGCAAAAAATGCTTGACAATTTTTTTTTTTTTTTTTTTTTTTTTAAAATCAGGAGTGGTGAAAAATGTACCTTTTTTAAATGGGTGATATCACTGTATGATAAACACAGTTTTATTGTTTGGTTTAAATATGACAAAGAGCAACATGACATGCAATTACTGTATGTTCTCTGACACCACATACATGACACAGGAAGGAAGGACAACTAAATGTTTGTGTGACAGCCAATTAGAATACGATGCTCAGAACCCACAGGAAAGGCTTCAAACACAGAACACTTTCAGGTGCTGCTCCTGCTCGTTAACTGACGGACAGAAAAACGCTCAGAGGATGTGATTACACTGAAACATCAGTTCCTCTCTGACTCAGACTCTTATCAGCCAATGTGTTGTGAAAACACTCAGTTTCACTCAAAACTTCTACACGCACACTCGGTGACATCAGGGGGAGCCAGTTGTAGCCCCGCCTCCTCCCAGCCTTTGCTGAGCGAGGCATTTCCTTACAGCGGGAGTTTCCTCTGTGATGAGTCAGCAGTTTGGGGGGGGTTCCTGCTCGCACTGAGTCACCTCTCAGGGCTTTCGGGCCGCCTCACATTAATTATGAGAACACACACCCCGAGCCTCTACCGCAGCGTCACACCTTATTGATCCTGCATGTAAGCGATCAGCTGCAGGAAACTTCTAAGTGACTAAAACCTCCTCTTCATTTCATCTAACCAGAAAACGGCTGACTGACAGGAAAACAAAAACTACACTGCTGTTTGTTCTCAGGAAGCTCATCTGATCTAAACCCTTCAAAAATCTTTCAGAAGAACAAATTTATTCCATCATCCACAGGCATTTTTAATTCAGCTCGAAATTACTGCAGAAAATGCAAATGGTCAAAGGTCAGAGCTGAGAGTTGCCTGGATTTTCAGAGGCACTGAACAGAGAAGTTTGTCAAAGCGACCACAGGCAAACTTAGGGGAAACACGTCACATGACCACACAGCAACGCCACAACACACACACAAACACTCGAGTGCAAGCAGCTTCACTGATCAGCAGCTTTGTCGTGGTCTCATGTTATTGATTTGGAATTTATCAATGGCGGTGATTAGAACAGACTGATTAACTGGGGTATTACACCTAGTGAGTGATTTCAGAGGGGGTGAGGCTTGAAACACTGGCTCATTCTCAGCACCTTAATCAATAAACTGATCAGCTGGGTATACTGTCTTTCAGCCACACCCGCCCATCATGAAGAAGCAGCTGTTATCCCAAAAGAGTTTGTTTCACACCTGTAGGCTTCTTCAAGTTACTACATTTCACAATAAATGTCCTTGTTTTATGTACTGCTGATTGGCAGATTTCATGATGTAACAAAAAACAAGGTTTCTAAAAGAAAAAATACAGTGAATCATTCATTCATTAAATGTTGGAAACAAGTTCTTTTAAAAAATCTTACTAAAAAGAGTTGGACTTAACTGCGTTTTTGGTGTTAAACACCAATTAAAATAATGTTTGCAGGGATCTAATGAACATGTCAGGAAGTGATGCAGTCCCTGGCTAACTATGCTTATAAAAACGTGTGGAATGACACTGGTGGATGAATAAAGACTCTTCAGTATCAGTGCTGTTGTCTCTTGTTTGGACCCTCCAGCTGCTTATGTTGATTTTTATGAAACCTGTGGGTGTGCTCACTCACCAGGGTGCTGCTCCTGCTCTGCTCCCCCGTCGTCACCCCGCTCTCCCCGTGCTCCCCGCCGGTTCCTCCTCCGCCTCCGGGCGCTCTCTGCCCGGCCTGATCGCCGCTGGGCTGGTGCTGCCGGTGCTTGTTGGACCGCTTGGCTTTGGACTGCAGGCAGCGCTGGTGCAGGGCGTAGGTCTGTTGCCGGTCCATCTCCTGCCGCTCCATCATCGCGGCCAAGTAGCGCTCCTCGCAGTTGTTGTGATGCTGCCGGAACTGCTCGATCCTCCGGCGGAGCCGCTCCATCACCTCGCTGCGTCGCGGTGTAACAAAATCCGCCATCATCAATAAAGCCTTGCAGTAAACTCCCGGCTCAGGTTTCGTCCATATATTGCTGAATCTGGCGTCTACACCCCCCCTCACTCTTTACAAAGACTCCGGTGCTGGCTCCATGGAGGCGGCCTTTGTGCTGCTAACGGCCTTCAGTCACACTCACTGCCGGAGAGGAGAGGTCAGGTTTTTGGGGGCAGCACCATCCAGCCTCCTCATCTACCTGGTCTTGTGTACAACAGCTCGTTTAATTAGCTGTGTAAAGCTACCGGAGTCCTGCTAGAGCCTATCTGGTCCTCCCTTTACTCCCCGAGCTGCCCCTGCCCTTTGCTCCTGATCATTTATACCCCAATCTGAGAGACAGGCTGCTGCCTTCAAACTCACTCCCGCTGGGCTAACTTCGGCTAGCGCATTCCTCCACTCTAAATCAAAGCAGGAGCCTAAAATCCTCCCACCCCCACCCCCAGAAAATGAGTTAAGCAGAACCTGGTCTGGAGCTAGCCTCCGTCTCCTCGTCCACCTGCCCGTTACCGGCGGTGCTCCGCTCCCGACAGCCTCCTAACGGCTCCACAACTCCCCTCAAACTTTATTCTCCTCGGCTGATGGAGGTTAGCTCGGGTAGCATGGGATTAGCTGGCTGGCTAACAACTTGTCAGCTAATGGAAATAAAACTTCACGCGCTTGAAAACAAACTGCCAGACTTTCAGGACATCTGAAGCACAGTTAGAGTTAAAGTCACTTACTGTGAGAGTGCTGCTGTCCGCTCTCCTACAGCATCTGTCCCAGCATCTGTCCTCCGAACAGCTGATCCTCCCGCTAGCCGTTAGCCGCTAGCTACTAACGCTGTTTGGGGTTCGGCTAGCTAGCAAGATAGCTAGCCTGAAACGTTTAAATGAACCATCATACTTTAAAACTATCTCCCCAGAGTTACACCCAAGGATAATCTTTCCCTCGGCTGAGCCCACGTCCGAGATGAACTGTTTGGGAGCGAATTCCTGGGAAACAGTGGGATAAGAGTCCCTCTGCGCCTCTTCTATTGTTTTCCAACGAACAAGTTACACCGCCGCCATCTTGAAAACTTTCTCTTTTTCCCCTCCTTCATCTGCGTTACAGGAATGTCCCCGCCTTTTCCGGTGACGGACAGTAGAAACAGCCAATCAGAAGATGAGACTGAGTGTCCCTCGCGTTTAAATCAATGACTGTAGAACAATACATAACAAACACACACGCGCACAGAGTGTACGATCGGTAAATCTGTTCAAGGGAGGGTTACTGGGTTATTGTACCACAAAAAAACAATCAAAAAGAAACCCAAAACAAATAAACTCAAATAAATTCACTTTTTTAATATTAATTTAACATGAATATAATTTTTTTAATTATGAAAACCACTGGCAGCTAATTTTACAGGCAGCAGGTTAAACACTCATCAGCAGTTTGACCGCCACAATAAAGATTATTTGGGGTTATTAGCGGCCCCTGAAGGACACTACTGGGGCCAGTATTCCTGCCTCCCCCCTCAGAAAAAAAATTATTAATTAATTAATTAATAAATCATAGATTAGGAAAAAAAAAAAAATAAATACATTAATTAATACTATGCAAGAGTTACATAGAAATTAACATAGAAAAAGAAACCAAAAAATAGAAAAAACCAAGGTTGGACATACAAAAATACATTAAACTATAAATTAGAAAGAATAATATAGATATATAGCCCTCGTGAGAAATGGCACGCAGGGGTAAGTATACTTGTAGAGGGTGTCTGGTTCAGTGGTCATAGGATTTAATCTCTGCTTTTTTGCACATGATGTGATTCTATCAGCTTCATGAAGTGGTATCCCCCAGCTCGCAGCCGTGGAAACGAGAATTAGCGTTATTCCAGAGTAGCTTTGCATGATTTACGGTTCATAATAATCCTTCATCTCATACCAGGACTGCCCTGCAGTTCAGCCTCAGTTTGACACAAACTGACTTTATGATTGGCTGCTTTAAGAGAAGACAAATGTTAGATTCATAAGAAAAAATGGGGCTAAGTTTACATGAAAAAAAGTGGGGGGGAAAGTTAATTTGAGGGGAAAAAGTTAATTTTAAATAGATAAAAATACTGTTAGAGATGGCATGTTTATTTATGAGCTAAAAGAAGAAAAGCACAATAGTAAATAACCACGCTGCTGCCTCTGCTTCTGTTTCCATTTGATGTTTTTATTAATCAAATCGAGTGTTGACCACGTGTCCGCACACACATAAACACAGAGAAGGCTCCATTATCACAGTATTTCCATTGAAAGCTGGAGCTTCCTGTCAGCAGGTCCACTCAGCGTGGACGTGGGGACGGCGGCCGGGCCAACCGTTAGTACAAACACAGAACAAAATAAAAAGCAGAGTTACAGAGGCAGAGTCTCCCCCGCAGGTACAGTGTTCAGTCTACAGTCTGTTAGCGAGGCAGCTTCAACAACGCCGTGAACAACGCCATCGTGCCTAAACAACAGCATCTTCACGGCCACTACAAGCAGCAGAGCCAGCAAAATCATCCTACGAGGAAGAGGAGATGGTCACCTGACACAAACTTTCAACACTTGCCATAAACCACCAGGCAATCACAAGCAGCCTGTCCTGACTGAAAAAAGGATCTGGCTCAGGATTCACACTGGAATCATTTTCCACCTGCTGATCGCTTCAGTTTCAACTTAGACGGGAAAAAAACAAAAGAAAAAAAAAAGGTCCTGCAGGAAGATTAGCACATAAACAGGTGATCAAGGGTTTGAGAGCATCAATAAGTTTCACAGATATTTGAAATCATTGTTACCTGCCAGGCACTTTTATTTTGGCAGTGGAAAGGAAAATATCAAAAGAGTGAAGGTTAAAGTCTGTAAAATTCAGATTTGACTGAATGAACAATAACGATTTATAATCAGAATAGTCAAAAATTACAGCAAATGATTTGATTTGAAGCATTATTAGTGAGAAAATAAATCCGGGTTGTTCTGTGATTCCCATTGATCCACCCAAACTCTGATAATCACACAAACCAAAGATGGAGTTTCTCCTTCTTTATGAAGTTTGATTTTCCACCAACAGCATTACCTCTGACACCTGCTTCATATAAGATGACTTCAGGCTCAAAAGAGAATCAAGTTAGAAAATGAAAAACAACTTTTAAATTTATTGATTTTGTGGCCCACCAGAGGGCTGCAGACGGGACACTGTAACAGCGCGTTACACGACCAGTCAGAGTTTATATGCTGATCTCTGGTTTTACCAGTTTAAGAACGATGGTTGTTTTTTGGTAAGTTATCGCAGACAGATGAAAAATAAGTCTCACTCTATGAATAAATAACGTTTTTGCGCTACACGGCAGGACTTAAAACTGTTGGTTGGACGGCCACCAGGCATTTTCCCAGCCTGATGCTGAGGTCACGTGATTATCTTCCAGGGGTATTGGTTCTGAATTTGGCCCCACCTGTGGTCACACATGGCAACTGCTTCAGCTCACAAGATCCACTTACTCACACCACCTGACCTTTGAGCAAAGCCTATGCTCCACACCCTGAAAACGACCACCAGGCGGGTTGACTCTACAGGTGGACAGCTGAGATGTTAAGTACCTCATTGTGGTAGTGTTTTTGTGTTGTCCAAATGTTCAGAGAGCGCCACTGTTATAACAAAAAAAAAACAACAAAAAAAACCAACTTAATTTTAAAGATTTTTTGTGTGTGTATGAGCTGAACCTTCATTCACACAACGATATACCCAAGATCAGCTGACTGTTGCACGTACGTGACCTTTGACCTTTTTTTTAAAAATTAGACGAGCTAACATATGCTAACATTTACATAAGAAAAACAAAGACGAAAAATGGAAGAAAAGGTGTTACCAGTTTATTATTTCAGACGTTAGCATGACTGATAGCTAATCAATGAACTCCACAAGCTGTAAGCAGCTAGCTGCTGTAAGCATTGGTGGGCTGACTGTGTTATAGCGCCACACAGTTCACTAGCTTTACTAGCACCTAGCTAACACCAGGTTTGAGGAGGGTGAAGAAACAGCCTAGTAGTTTCTGGATAACATCCCCAGCTCGACCGATTAGCCAGCAGGAAACTGTGGTTGTTAGTAGGATAACCACCAACAGGCTGATTTACTGTAATAAACAAGCTGTTAGCTTATAAGTTTGCTAACACAGGTACGGTTGCTAAGTTTCTTGTAGCATTCATTAGCAGCCTGGTGGATCAAATTTAAAAACAAAACCCGAGCAATGATGGCAAGCTGATCCCAAAGCTAATTACCAGCATGTTGGTAAGCTAATTGGGCTTTTTCGATGCTTACTCACTGACTGTTGGTAACGGTTAGTCTAGCTAGCAAGTTACATTGTGTTAGCTAGATGACGACATATTGGATTAGCCAACTGTTTATAAGCTCTTTAAGGAATGAGGAAGACTTCCGGTTGGTCAAAAGATTTTAAAGTCATCCTGACTGTTGGTGTCGTGTCAGCAGGTGCTTTCACCCAGACTGCCACGACACAAGGCAGCAGGATCACGGTGGCTCAAGCAGGGTGATGCTGAGCTAAGCCCCTCCAGGGACCGATTTAGAGTGTTCTCATTGGCTGTTTAACACCCTGGTTACCTGGAGACTGTTTGACCTGACTTATGTTTTGGCTGCTGGAAGGCTAGAGACTGCTGGAAGCTCAACAAAAACAGCCTCAAGCGGGCTCTGAGGGTGGCAATGGCGGTGGACAGGATGTTGGTCCTGCAGGTTCGAGTGTTCAGGTGTTGTGAAGGAATGACGCAGCAAGTTTTAGTAAATCTCTTTGAAAAACAAAAATCCTTTGAATCTAACTCGGTACTGTTCATACACATAATCATTATTATCATCATCATCATCATCATCATCATCATCATGTGTCCATGTTGGAGGTCTTGATTAGTTTCCCGTTGCTGCTTCCACTGGTTCCATTCAGGCCTCATCGCCTCAGAGTGGACGGGAAGAAGAATGAGGAGGAGGAGGAAGGGGAGTGGGGATGAAGGGGGTGAGCTGTTGAGGTCAGGGCTGCAGTCAGATTTCACTCCTTCCTGAGCTTCCTGCTCCTCGGAGATCTCCGCAGAACATCGTCCTCGAGCTTCTGCAGAGGAAACGAAGGCAAGATGACGAGTAGTTTAAGTCAGAGAAGAGGCTCGATGTTACTCGCTCAAATCAAATCATCTGAAACAGACTGCACAGCCTCAGACGGAAAATTCGATTCAGTTTTATTCATACAGCGCCAAATCACAACAACCGTCACTTCAAGGCGTTTTATACTGTAAAAACCCTACAACAGGGGTGTCAAACATACAGCCTGTGGGCCACAGTCAGCCCAGGAAAGACTCCAGTCCTACGCAATGCGCAGCTTTGGAAAAATGAGGGTTTTAAATGTTTTGCAGCTTCACCTACTGATAAAGACCTCTCTCCACCCCCCATGACCATTCATACTACAGCAAAGTAATTACGTAATAGATGATCAATGACATGACAGAAAAGCTGTGTTTACAATCTACTGTAGGAAATTCAGGGGTTTTTTTCCCCCAAAATCTACAGGTTAAAAAAGAAAAAGGCTATTTTCTGTTAACAAGAACCCCTTTATTAAAAATTTTTTACACACCATTTAAAATGTAAATAATTTACTACAGCAGCACCTGTTAATCATGTAGAAAAACTAAGAAATACTCATCAAATTGCTCCTCTTTTTCTAATATTCTGATATCTGACGGATTAAATGCGTAGTTAAACTTCTTTATAATAACACCTGTTTGGATCTCTCTCTCTCTCTCTCTCTTTCTCCCAAATATCGGGCAAATCAACTTGTGCGTAAAATGTTTTCAGCTGGGCGTCGTGTAAAGCCTGTTCTAACGTTTGAGTCTAAGGTTTATTTTGTGCACCTGACGGCTCTTTTTTGCTTCTCACCCGTAAACTCCCTCCACACACTGTCACATGATTCTTGTGTAGGTGGTAGAAGAGGTTTGTTGTGTTTGAGTCTGTGGTGGGGACTGGACTGCATTATACGGTTTCTGGTCAGTGTCATACTTTTCATAACCAAACCATGTCCATGCTAAAGAGGTAGCCCCTCGTTTAGGAATAAGGTCCTGGATTTGCTTTGACTGGTCTTTCTGTTTGTCATCATTTAGGTTTATTTGGAAAAATCTCAACAGGATATTGAGCTTTATTGTGAAAAGTTTATGTGGAAAATAAACAAACGGACAGTG